TACAGAGGAGATATGTTCCAAGACCCCCAGTGGAGGCCTGAAACCACTGATGGTACCCAAACCCTATCCATAAGGCACTGTTTTTTTTTCCCCCATACATTCATACCTGTGATAAAGTTTAATTTATAAATTAGGCAAGTGAAGAGAAAAACAATAAGAAAAGAAAAAATTTTAAAATAAGCTAATAAAAGTTACATGAGTGTGGTCTCTCTTTCTCTAAAACATCTCATTGTTCTGCCGAGCGTGGTGGCAGTAGCTCAAGAGGTTGAGGCAGGAGGATCACGAGTTCAAAGCCAGCCTCAGTAAAAGTGGGGCACTAAGCTACTCAGTGAGCCCTGTCTCTAAATAAAATACAAAATAGGGCTGGGGATGCGGCTCAGTGGTCAAGTGGCCCTGAGTTCCATCCTCGGTACCCTCCCCACGAAAAAAAAAAAAAAAAAAAAAAAAAAATTGTTGTTCTTTACCTTTCCACTTGAAGCACTTTACAGCTTCTCTTTGGCACATCTGAACTGCCAGCATCACTACTCTTACACTTTGGGGCCAGGATTAAATAAAATTAAATAAAATAAGGGCCACTTGACTGAGCACAAGTGTTGTAATACCAGGTCAGCTGGACTGATCGCTGAGAAGCAAGCATGCTGGGCAGCGGGATGCCCTGGATGACCCAGGCGGGATGAAGTGAGATGGCTTGAAATGTCATCATGCTACTGAGAATGCAGCACAACTTAAAACCTGTGAATTATTTATTTCTGGAATTTTGTATTTAATAATTTCAGGCCACAGTGGACTGCAGGTAACTGACACCACAGAAAAGCAAAACCGTGTAAGGGGAAATGACTGTACTTTGCTTCTCTGGAGGGGGGGATGCTGGAGCTGGCTGCCCCTCCCCCATGCTCCCACACCTCTCTAGCCTTGATAGCCTTGTCCTTTAACTGTCTTTCCCTTTTGATGGTGAAGTAACAGAGCTGCGACCTTGTCAGGCCCCCATAATCCAGTGTAGTGACAGATGATCAGTGAATGGATTAATGAATGACTGCAGAAGCCTAGATAGTGAAAATTATTGATCAAGATACACTGTTAAGCCAGGCACAGAGGCACCCAGTGACTTGGGAGACTGAGTCAGGAGGATTGCAAGTTTGAAGCCAGCCTCAGCAACTTAGTGAGGGCCCAAGAAACTTAATGAGACCCTGTCCCAAATAAAAATAAAAAGGGCTGGGTATGTGGCTCACTGTAGTATGACCCTGGATTCAATCTTCAGTTACCAAAATAAAAAGTCAAAACGCTGCTAAGCTTGCCCACCCCAGGATGTAGTGCAAACGCTTACTTGTGAATGGGACAGAGCATACGAATTCCTTAATAAAATGTCAAAGGATGATGCTCATGAGAAAGTAAAGTGTAAAAGTAAAAGCAAAGAGAGAAACAATTGAATGGGGTGGGGAAGGGCAGCTTTGCTTGGCTTGGAAGTTTGGGAATCCTTTTGATGAGACAGAAGGGCTCCACAATGGTGTGGAAAGTCATGAAGTGTTCTGAGGATTCAAGAAACCAGTTGAAACTTCATTCTAAAGGCCAGGGGAAGTCACTGAAAGATTTTGCACAGGGGAGAACAAGGACGAGAGTCTTGTAAAAAATATACGTGACTGTATGACCAATGTGATTCTGCAACCTGTACACTCAGAAAAATGAGAAATTATACCCATTTAATTCAAATGTATGATATGTCAAGATCCTTGTACTATTATGTGTAACTAATAAAAAAAAAGATTAATCTGGCTTTGGTGCACATAGTAGGCCCTCAAATATTTGTTGTATGAATGGATTCAGCTACAAATTCTGATCAGATTCTTTGGTGGAGAGAGTAAAAGGTATCAGATACCAGAAGTTCAGGTGGAAGGATGGCTCAGCAAGATGTGATAATCCCTAGCGTGTGCTTCATTGAGCTAAAAACAGCAGCTCTATCAAACCTTTTAAAATTATCAGAAAATTTAAATTTCCCTTTAAGAAAGAAAATTGTGTTAGGATAAAACTTGAAAGATCACAATTCACTATAATATGAATTTTTTTTTTTTTTTTTTTTTGCCAAGAACCAATTGTCACTCGTTTGGGGTCCATATCAGTTCTAGTGAGATAAGGATGCACACATTAGATGCTGTGAGGAACAGGCAAGCTAAATGAGACGCTAAAGGAGACATGAATCTGGGCTTTGATTTCATCTTGAACTCTTTATCTATCTGTCAAATGAAGAGATTGGATTCCTTCCATCTCTGAACTTCTGGTCCTAAGTTGGGCACTGCCTTCAGGAAATGTATAACCCAATTAGAGCAGCAGGATAGATGGATATTAAAAAGTAGAATCAATGCCAGGCAGGGTTAAGAGTTTGTTCTCTTAAAAGAGTAACTCTCTAATGGAACATACTAATGGCATTATTTAAATCTGGATTTCCCACCAATCCCTAGCATCTTGGCCTTTCCAATAGTAAGAGGTTGAAGGATAAAGCCAAAATGCCCGCCTCTTGYTTCCCCCAATTTTTCCTGCAGAAGCTAAGATAGACATGGGGCACCTGGTACCCAGGCGATGGAAACTACCATTGAGTCCAGCCTTCTGTCCCTGCTCATGCACACTCAGAGGTGTTCCTTGCTGTCATTTGGCTTCCCCTACTGTTCCATGAGCATTAATCATGCTCTCCATGACCAGGCTCCTGAGCACGCCCTTGCTCTCCCTGGTGTGTTGACACCCTGCCATTGTTTGTTTTCTCATCTGCTCCTGGGCTCAGCCTATAAATCATGACCAAAGCCACTCATTTAGACATTGGCCAAGCACGGAAGTGGTTTCCTGACATGAATGCCTCTCTGACTTCCGTCCTGCAAAGCCCAGCTCAGTCACCTCTTCCCTGCTGATTCCGTGGAGCTGAGGTTGTTCTTCCTTCCTCTGGGATATGGCAGTTGCCATGGTAGGTCCTCAACTAGATGGAAGAGTCTTTGAAGACAGAACCACGTGTGCTAGGTGACCCACCACAGCCTGGCTCAGCCCCTCATGCACAGAGGCTGTGTTGGCTAGGATGCTAAGGGCGACGAGTATCAAATCCTCGGCTAAATCATTTCCACTGGAAATTCAGARGCTGGGCAGATTTCAGGACTGGTTTCCCCAGCAGCTCAATGATGTGGAAGACCCACATTCCTCTCTTCCCTCTGTTCTGCTCTGACTTCTACAATGCCCTGGGTCTGGCTGGCTATTGATAGCCATTTAGGTCAAGTAGGAAGGGGAAAGATGACTTCCTGTGGCTCTCAGAGAGAAACACTTTCTCAGAAGCCTCTGATAAATCTCTTCCACCTCACTGACCCAAATTGCCATCCCAGTCTTTTTTACCCATTGTCTTCTTTTTGTGGTGTTGGGGATTGAGCTCAGCAGTACCCTATCACCATCCTCCATCCCCAACTCTTTTTATTTTGAGACAGGATCTTGCTAAATTGTCTGAGCTGGCCTTAAACTTTTGATCCTCCTGCCTCAGCCTCTTGAGTCATTGGGATGACAGTTGTGTGCCAATGTGCTTATCTGTTCCAGCCCCTTCTTGACCTATTACATTAAGCAAAGGGAACAGGATCACCTTTAGACTAATCAGGCCTACCCCATTAGACAGAAAGACTGTCCTCCAACTTTTTTCTTTTTTTCTGGAGGGAAAGGAGTATATTTTCAATGTTTACATTTAATGAATTAGTACCTTCAACAAAGGTAACCAAAATAGCAAAATGATCATACTATTAATGAGAGAGCCATAATGTTTAATAAAAAGATATACATCTGCTGACCCGTCCCAGAAGTAAGACATGAGTTTTAACCAGTATGAAAAGTATCATCTCTTTTAAAATATTTATTGGATATTATGTAAGTGGTAGATAATGACCATGAATCATGCCAAATCACACACCCATGCCCTTGAGTATCACTCTCTCAAACTGACGCTGGGCTCGGCACGTACGTGGCTTGTTTTGGCCACCAGGACATGTGCAAACATCTCCCCMYCCC